TTTTTGGAAGCACACCCCACTTTTGACGGGGGAAAAGGTTACTTCACATGTTTATGTTAGGCAGTATTATGTGTTGCATAGTAGCACTAGGATGCAATAAAGTAGTTTATATATTAGGATGGGCCTTTCTCGGTTCCACATGTCATGTGAGGTCAAATGCACCTTACTTGTTAAATTGTAAATGTAAATGCTTTCATGGCAGAGAAAGAAACACAGATATGCAGTGCAATGAATCTTAGTCTATTCAGAACCCTTAGCAACAGAGTTGAGATTATTATTAAGTGGAAAACCTATTAGTAACACTGTTTACTTTATATTTATGACGGTGACCAACTCAGTGCTCCTCCCATGCTAAATTGATTGCTTCTGTGACCGTTTCACCCCAGTGTGAAAAAGTAAAAAAGTTTCCCAAAAGGTAAACAGTTAACATTGCAGTCAGGACCCTTGAAACCACAGCAACTTCTCCTCAACCTAAAATATGGTCTTTTTGTTTTCTGCTAACGATCTGCCCGCTGTCTGTGATCCACGAGATCCATAGAGAGCTATAACAGTGCTATGAGTGCGGGTGTATGTGCAGCCAAGTCACCATATACAAATGACTCATTTTTGTGCTGCCTACTCAGATGTCAAATGTCCCAAGTTTTTACACAGCACTTGTTACCACTGAAATCTATGATTTACCGGCTGTAACAGCAGCTTTGAAAACAATGTCTAGGAACATAAAACTGGGTTTCTGAGCATCATCATGAGATTTATAATGTTGGGCGGGGGGACTGTTAAAAGATGGAAGATTTTTGCTCTCATTTAACACGTCTGGCTTATGTATAACATCTTACAATATCAGAAGTGATGGGGCTTACTAGAATATTTTATATACTCTAGTGTAGTTAAGGTTTCTGTTATGCGTAGACACAACACTGGTTCATCCATCAAGTTGGGTGCTTTTTTTATGAGTTTTCAGAATGTCTGTCAGGCTACTCAGCCTGACAGACATTCTGAAAACGGTCACGTACCAAGACTGGACTAAAAATGAGCGAAAAAGCAGCCAATGTCCAAAGGAAAACCTTGAAAGCCTGTGAAAAACACAGAAGAGCTATTGCTCAAGAGCACTTTAACAACTAAAAGATAGTCTGGGTTCTTGGAAGCAAACTATAAAGAACTCAAACTGTTCTTATAACAGTGGCCAAGGACTTTACTAAGACACTGTAGATAAATGGGCATTAACGTCACACCATGGCCCTAAAACCAATATAATCACAGTGCTGAGGAATAATCTGAGGGGGGTGTGTACTTATCCCTCCCTCTCCTGCTGGGTGAAGATGTTTGGCCTTAGGTCTTCAGTACTCTTGGGGGCTGCGGGTGGCCCGGTTTTCCCCGATCCATCTCTGTCTGCTTCTGGCTCCCGGGCTTCGTTTTTGTGGCTTCTAACCATCATTTTCAAGTACATTCGTGACAAAGACCCATACACATACACTCACACTCGACACTCTCTCTCTCTTTCTCTCTCACACTCACACTCACACACACACACACAAACACACACATCACACTCACACTCTCTCTCTCTTTCTCTCTCTCACACTCACTCACACACACTCACACACACACAGGCATATTGTTGATTTATGCACCTGTGCATTTTCAAAAGTTTGTGTTCCAGGTGTTGTATGTGTATTTTTCTTACAAATGTGGCAGTTGGAGATACATTGTGCCATTTGTACTCTATCCTTTTATTACAGTATGCCTTCCCCATCATCTTCACCTATGACATCTCAAAGTTTCTGGCTTCAATTCTCAACACGTTGGTAGGCAGCTCTAAACACCACATCCAAAAGACATTAGATTTTGTTGACAAAGGGATGTTATTACATCTTTCATTACTGAAGCGGTGGACGCAGCTCGTAAGAAATTACAGAATGACCTCAACTTCAACAACAGGAGCACTCTCAGCACTGACCAAGTGTGTTTGCTTTTGGAACTGTCTTCTTTCCACATTTTTTACAAAAACGGGTCAGTACAAAAACCAGAAAAAAAACATGGACGAACAACAGTTTCCCAGTTTCACCCACTGTGGCCAACTTGTTCATGGAAGAAGTGGAAAAGAGGGCTCTGCTGTCCTACCCTGGAACACCACCAAATCATTGGTTCAGGTATGTGGATGACACCTGGGTGAAAATCAAATCTGACGATATACCACGGTTCACTGGTCACATTAACTCAGTGGACCAACACATCAAGTTAACCAAAATATCAAGTTAGCCTTCTTAGACTGTGAGATTCAAAAGTTGATGTGTAACATAAACCAACGCATACAGATCAGTATTTAAGATTTGTTAGTATTTAAGCCACAGAGACACTGTGTCCCTGTGGCTTTCAAACACCAAAATACTCTGTGCCAAAAATTGGTCCACCCCAAGGATCTGGTCCCCCACAGAGTAACGGGGAAAACCCCACAACCTCTGGTGAAGTGCATGGCAAAACACAAAAGAGCTAACTCATCAGACCAAGACTCCGCACTCTATTCACACCTACAGGTTAGTTGAAGAAATCAAGGAGGCCGTTTACTGAAAAAGGGAAAGACCATCTCTGAATTGAAGGAATCACAGCATCTTACAATGTTATGATTGCAGCAATTCCACAACCCTGTGTGAATGGCCATTGATCAGTCGTCTCTGATCAGTGGTTGTTGTTGGTCATGACAATTTCCATATTAATAGTCAAGAAACTGACCTCAGTAGTGCTAGTTTCATGCATCAAGACACTACAACAGTAGTTCATTTGGGCTGAATTACAGCAAAGAAAACTCTAAGCACTTAGATTGTCAAATAGACAAACGATTAGGGGGAAATCATGTAAGTGTAATGCTTAGATTAGATTTCACACGGCTAATACAACTATTAAATGAAAACACAAGTGCTGGAAAAGAACAAAATGAGAAGTAAATATGCAGCGTGGGCATCCTTTCAAATCAAAAGCACAAAACCAGGAATTAACTGTCATGCACAACAGCTGCACCATATTAAGGAATATTCACACAACACATACAGCTTTTATGGTGCGGTGTGGTTTAGAAAGAGGCAGGATGGGGAGAACCATTACTGGGCATAAAAAAGGAAAGTTGTGGAGAGATGGATGGGATGTTCACCCTGTGAGCGAAACAGAGAAACCTTATGATGCTTCAGATAAAGAACATATTCAAATGTCTTACTGTAGAAAAAAAATAATTAGGAAAATATGCAAAAGCTTCTTCAAGTCCTTACAACACAGAAGCTGCATTGTATGGTTTTGGCTTGTAGATTCTCTATGAAAGACTGCTTTCTCAGGAGGATACAAGCTCGCCATTGATAGATGTATTCAAATCCTCATGTGGGACTTGGTCAGAATAATGGACGCAGAAAGTGTCAGAGTTTCAGTGTGTGTTAAACAGTGTGTTAAATTAAATGGATGGTGAGAGGACAACAAAAAGAAGATAGAAGAGGAACTGGAGAGGCCACATGAAAGTAACCACGAGGGATCTGCACAAATTCAGAAATTGCCATCTGTCTTTTTGAAGGCAACACTGGGGTCACTATGACAACAGTCTCATAGTGACAGCTTAATGCAAAGATAAAACCAGATGTGAAAACCTGGGTGAGAACTTGGACTATATTTGCAAAGTTTAGAGCGCACGTGTAGTGCTGTGATAAAGTAATTGCCCCTAAACCTAAAAACTGGTAAGCACAAGTCCTTGTCAATCAAGTGTTTGCAATGACTGGCGGTGAGTCTTTCACATCGCTGTGGAGGAATTCTGTTGAAGGTCATGCAAAAGCATCTCAAATGCATTTAAGTTTGCACTTTGACTCGGCCAATCCAAAATGTTCATTTTGTTTTGGGGTCAGAAAAGGTGGCTCAGAAAAACGAAGAAAGCCTTTAACATGACCCACATGTTAAACGCTGCAAAGCCTCAAAAACCCTCCAATGTGGCTGATTTAAAACAATTCTGCAAAAACGAGTGGGCCAAAATTCCTCTACAGCGATGTCAAAGACTCATTGGCTTCATTGCATTTTTTTTTCTTTTATTCAGGTGGTCTGTCTAATATTAATATTTATTTGATGATGTGAAAAATCCCATAAAATTCACACAAAAAGAAAAAAGAAAAGAAACGAAGAAGAAGTCAGGAAGGGGCAAATACTTTTTCATAGTACTGCAAAAGTTTAACTCATCAAATGTCACATTACATGATGGGTAATAACAAGAACAAGCCTAAAATACTGGCTGATCAGATAAAGACATCTGCCTTCACACAAAAACCTGTACATGTATGATATATATGAAACCTTACTTTTTAATCCTAACTTTTCCACTACTGAGCAAGAGTTTGAAAAAGGAGAAGAGAGTGTACGCCTTTCCGCCCAGCGAGGCTCAGACAGCCAGTGTAGAAATTGCTAATAAAACAAACACGTCTCTGCTTGCCGCCTGATTATAATCCAAACATAATTCAACAAAAAAAACTCTTGCGCCTAATTTCAATGAACAAATAAGCAGGACTGTATCCCGAAGAGCGCTGAGCAAAGCTAATAAATGTGCCTTTTCATATGAAGTACTCCTCTCACAGCAGTTTATCTGTTTGCAACAAAGAAGCGGCCAAGTTTAGCAAAGCACCTGAAATTGGACAAATACTGTCTGATTCAGAAACAATGAAATTGTTCTTTGTCAGAGTTTATTTCATTCCTATATTTAGTTTAATTAAAGCTGATCATTTTTCTGCTATTGCACTAATAATAAACATCTCAGTGTTTTTCTATAATGTCTTTTTAACTTTGACTAAAAGTTATATCAATATACTAAAGCTAGGATGATACACGAGGTCAAAGTCACATTCCAGAACAACATTCCTTCAATTAGAGAAAATTAATTAAATCAGATTGACAGGTTAGTGAAAACAACTGTTAAATGCCATAATTTTCTATGTACTGCACCCTGGCTTTTCTTTCAGTGAAGTCCTCGAGATACTTTGTCAGTGATAAGAAAATAATCACATCCTACTCCCCACATGGCTTCTTCTTTGTGTTGCGTTTATGGCGTAAATGTAAAGTTGGGCTACTCAGCATCTAGTTAGTCTTATAAAGTACTTTGTAGTTAATTTGAAATGCAACTTTTCTAACAGGCAAACAAACATGTAGTATAAAGATTACTATGTTTCACCAGCTCAGTTTAGTACATGGTAATATTTTCTTATTTTCACCACATTTCCAAGAATAAAGCTTGGATGTAAGATGATTTTTGTGTGGTTTTACTAACCACAACTTCCCCATCCAGTACATAATGCTCACCGTCCAAAAAAAATACCCCCCCATTTCACAGTTAATAAAACACCATTTGAACATAACAAACTCTGTAAATGAGTTTTTTAATAAGGTGCTTTTAGTCCAAGTTTTTCTGCACAAACCTTCACACCAGTCCTTCTAAAACATCTGGACAAACCAGCATCCTCATAGCAATGCTGCTAATAGGTAACCTCTGCTGCCCCAACCAAGACCTGCATACGTCAACTTATATTATAATGGCATCCAAGTTGTGTCTTCTTGCCTCAGATTTCAAGGCAAGAAGACACAGATTTAAAGAATAGGTCACAATGTATAGATAAAGATATAGAGAGACAGAACTTGACTTCACCTTTGTTGCTGCAATCCAGCAGCGGTTTGGGAAACATGTACGTGCGGCACATGGAGGTGGCATCTGGCTTCCTTATTTTTGGCGGAGGCTTTGGCCATTCTACAACTCCAGGTTCTGGCCCCTTGTCTTCCTCACACAGCAGGTCTACAGTCAACTTTTTTAGTTTCTGACCCTTCAGTGAAAGAGGCTCTGCACATATGGCGTAATTGCCCAAGTTGCGGTTGCCTGGCAGCTGCAGTTTTCTGATCAAGCTTTCCAAGGGACACAGGCAGCTCCACGGGTTGTCATAGAGACGGAGATAAGTAAGGCGGGGTAGGGGGAGCAGGACCTCCTCGGAGGCTGTTGTCATTTGGTTGTGCTGGAGGAGCAGGGTTTTGAGCTGGGAGAGGCCACTGAACGCATCATCCTCCACCCTGGAGATGCGGTTCTGCTGGAGATCCAAGCTCTTCAGCTGGGTGAACTGAGCAAACATGTTGTCCCTCAAAACCTGAAAGGAGAGATGTACTCGAGTTGTTTTATTTGCATTTCTGGACAATATGGTAGCATTTACCATCAGCTTACTTGTGCATTATTCTTATCTTTACTGTACTAAAAAACTTCAATCGTCTGCAGTTTGCAGCTTGTAGGAATTTAGCCTCCTACGGCCATTTGACCCCATGTTATACCACAGATTCTATATAAAAAAATGGCCATAACTACTGTGGCATTACCCACTGATGTATAGGCAACTGTTTCAGAGCCTGAAGTTTAAAATTCCCATATTGCTGGAGCCAGATGTCAGACATTTGGAAAATACAGTGGTGCACTATGTTAAGATTACCATTTCTGAACAGCAACAGTAAACCCAAAGTGCTGCAAGTGGTGAAAGACACAGCATGGATCAGTTTTCTCTATCTGTAATTCCAAGTATCTAACTTTTCAAATTACATATTTTTAGTGTAAAAAATACATGTTAAAGATGTTTTAAATGATGAAATATATCCTATTTAAATCCAAAACAAAGTGCCGAAGACACAAATAAAAATAAAACAAGATCCGGTTTCCTTCCCACATAAGTTGTACCTGTTTTCATTGCTTTCATCAGTGTCTATTGCTCAGTCATTTCCACTTATTAACCTGCAGGCTAACATTTTGTTTCAGTTCTCTCAGCACCTGCGACATAAACATCCTGTACTTGCTCAGACATGCAAAAAACTGCACACATAAGGAAGAAAAGTCTGTCTTTGATCTTGCTCCCAAATAACTGGTGCACAGATGCTCATGGCATCAACAAGCCATCTGAAGCATAGAGAGTAAGAGATTATGGATACTTAACTCAGGCTTAATTGCTGCAAAGAACCCAATTTCTTGCAAAAAAAAAAAAAAGATCTCCAGTCCGCTGTAATTAACATCAGTTGTTATTTTTGCACCAGGTGAACAGAAATCTGCCTGTAAATACCTGAATCCTATTTCTCGCCAGCAGTAGGTGGTGGATATCTTTGGGCCAGTCCTGCATCACAGTGGTCAGCTGCCTATCCTGGCAGTCAAGGTATTTTTCTCCTGACTCCATGTATTCCAAGCACACCTCAGTTTGACGCCTCATGACGCCGGGCCTGCCTCTACCCCGTACATGGCCCCGTGCGCCCCTCTCCACAGCCTTTGACCGAGGGCCTCTCCGGGGTTCCGCTGATCCAAGGAGTAGCAAGAGCAGGAGGGAAACAAGGAGACGCATGACAGGAGAGGAGAGGATGGAGCCTGGCAATCAGGTCAGTTTCGGAAGCTGGATGACGAAGGGATACAGGTCAGTCACTGCTGGTGGCACAAACAGAGGAAGAGAGGGAGAGAAGAAAATGAATTTTCAAAGGTCTTCAGTGGAAACTTCTCACAAAATCCTAAAAGATTTGCAAGAGAGTCCTTAATAAGACCCTGCATCTTGGGCCTTACTGTGTGGAGTTTGGATGTTCTCCTGGTCCATATGCAGGTTTTCCTCAGTACTCTTTATACCAGGAATTTGAGGATTACCTGAACCCATTTGCTGAGTATCACACTTTTTTTTTTAATCTTCATGAGCACTTTGCATTGAATGCTTTTATAGAATAGAAAACATGAAAATGTCAGTGTTTGACATCACATTATTGTGTGCATTTATGTGCAACATAAAGGAGAAGTTGACACAGATAAAGAGTATCTGCTTTATTACAGCATATCTGTCAACATCTGGCAATCTGTCAATATCTGGCAACAACTAAAGCAGTAATGCTGAACATGTTGAAAGAATTAGTGGGAAAGCTGAGTGATTGTGGAGTGGGCAGAAATGGGGTGTGGGGGTGGAAAAGGGGTTTTGAGAAAAAACGAAAAGACATTTCTCGAGGTTGATGTGTGTTCATAACAGTTTTCTTTTATTTTTTCTTTCAGTTTTCTTTGTTTTCTGCCTCCAGCCAAACAAAGCTGAATGTTCAAGATCTTCTAAACACAGTTTTTCTCCTTATAATATAGGAATTGTTTGTGTTGTAAAGTAGAGGGTCAGGGTGTGTGTGTATTGCATTTGAAATCATGTAGTTTCATGTGTTTAGAGCTATTTTCCTTTATCTAAAAACACCAAGAGTGCTCGATACAGTAACAAGTGTGTTATGTGTATAAATATCTGCCACATGTACGTGTTAGTTGGACAGTTTGACAATACAATATATGTTTCATTATCTGTCAGGTTCCCAGACAACTAGTGAAGATTATCCAGAACCACAGAAACCTGGCCTGGATGTAGTACTGCACATAAAAAGCCATGTAAAGCCACAAGTTTGCGGTTTGTTCACACACCATTTACTATATAGGTCAAACCACCAAAATGTGGCGTGTTAATTAGTGAACTTAAAAGGTAATGTAAGCAGTTTAGTTTTTTTAAATATCAGGGCACATGCAGGCAAGCTGTTTCTACTGGTTTCCAGTCATTTTGCTAAGCAAACAAGGCTGATTGTAGTTTCATATTTACAGCAGCCTACCAAATTTCCCAAATAAACCATTTCTTTTAAAACCACATAGAGCCTGTATGTCTGTTTCTTGGTCTGCTGTTCTTGCCATTTGCACTGTCAAACTCCAACATTGTCATCAGGTGCAAATATGAATATGTCAAGACTGTAAATATTATTATTTATTGCCTAATAATGATGGTAATTGTCTTTTTTTTACTCTACAGTTGGTTGTTCTCACAGCCTGCTGGCTATGTTAATATGCGCATGTGTATGGGTGTGCACATTTCATGCCAAAATATATGAGTCATGAATCCCTTGTGTTATCAGAGCCAAAAAGAAAAAAAGAGGGGGAGGCCGACAGGTCTGCCAACATGCACCCCGCGCACACATACAGACACACATGTGTGCTGACTAAGGCCAACTGTACCAAACCGCAGCTCTCTTACCGTCTTTCAGACTCATACAGTGGAACAAGCCTGTCAATGCAGATGGTGTCGTTCCATTGTGAAGAACAGACAGGGCATGTAGCTAGCTACAAGCAAAAACAGCTGAGAATGTATCTGGGGAAATACTTTGCACTTCACTGAGAAATCTTCTGTCCATCTACAAATGATCTCTAATCAAATGAAGCAAACATAAACCTTCAGTTTCTTTCACTGAAGCCATTATATGCAGCAATTCCCTTCCAGCGAGCTGTCTCTCCAAACCCAAGAAGAACTTAATGAATTGGTCTTCTAAGTCACTACCTAACATTATCTGCCTCACTGTGCCTGTCTTTCTTCTTTCTATGTATTTATGTGCCAGTGAGCAAGCAAGAGAACATGTTATAGATCCTGTGGTAAATGTTTATGAAGCTGATGAGTGGCATGTTTTAACACAATGAGAGACTTGTGCCACGTATAAAGTCCAGACTAGATTAGACTCAGGTTGAAAGCACAGAGAGACTTGTTGAGGAGATCCAGACACATCCCCTGTGTATCACTATTTAAGTATTTGCCAACGTAATTGCTTTCAGTTTAAGCCATTTAAACTGGCATAATAATAATAATTGTATTATATTATATAAATGACCTCTTCTTACAACCAAGCTATGCAGAAGAGCATCACTGAACCTAGAAGCAAACATCCTACAGCAGCAGAAGATCACACTGGGTGCCGTTCATGTCCACTAAGAACAGAAAACTGAGGCTACAGTTCACACTCACTCGCTCAAAATTAGATAACAGATGATTGGAAAAATGTTGGCTTGTCTCATGAATATCAATTTCTGCTGTGACATTGTTGGCTGAGTTAAAATTTGGCATAAAAAACATGAAAGCATGGATCCACCTTGCCGTGAATCAATAGTTCAGGCTGCTGGTGGGGTAATGGTGTGGAAGATATTTTCTTGGTGAAATATTTGAGCCCCATAAAATACTGAGAATGATTCAAATACCACAGCCTAAGTATTGTTGCTGAACATGTCTAGCCCTTTATGTCCACAGTGTACTGATCTTGTGGAATTGCAGATGCTATCATGTCAATATGGACCAAAATCTATAAAGAATATTTCCAGAAGCTTTTGAATCTATGCCATGAAGAAAAGGGGGTCAAACCCACTAGTGATGTATACCTACCCATTTATATATGTAACTGTGGTGCTGGTCTATCTCTCTTTTTATCTAGCTAGCTAGCTAGCTAGCTAGGTGGTTATCAAGCTTCTAGACAACTATTGGCATAGTCACTCTACATTATCCAGCACACATTCCAGCTGTGACCATAATAAACCCACTCAGGCTAAACCCGTCCCTTTGGTTAGCCCCATGGCCACAGCAGACTAGTTTAGTCCTTCCACTCTGGTATTATTTCCCACTCCAGCTACCACTGGTCAGTGTATGCCAACCCAAAGTGGTCAAAGAAAAAGAAAAAAAACTATCTCCCTCCATCTTAGAACATCTACAGAAGGCCCATTTATCCTCAGGGGCGTCTCTAAATATCACACAGACTGTTTTCCTGCCACTATAACATCTGTCCTGAACAAGAATAGAGTTTGGTCTAGACGTAAAATGTGGTAGCAACATGTCCCTGCGTTTTGACTACGTGAAAATAAACCTCTGCAAAGAATTCGAGTCCTCTCTTTTGCCTCAGAGACCTTAATCATAGTTCATTTTTTTGTTCATAATTTTTGTGTGGATAGTGTCATGTCTGTGCCCAGTCTGGAACACAGTTGTATCCACAAGTTCAGCAAAAGTCCTGCCTGCTAGCAAGAGTGACATTTAATTGTCTCCGGGTTACTTTACAATGGTAGAGATACAGCATGTTCTTTGAGCGTTTTTTTTCTTGTTGCTAATTACTTTTTTGCATTTCTGGCTCAGTTGTGAGGAATTTATTTTTCAAAGAAACCAATAACTTTTTAATAAGACAATTGATGCATGCAGTCTTTAGATGAGCAAAAGAGCTTGAAGTTGTCGACACAAATGAAAACAAACCGCTGAATAAATACCCAAGTCTGAGGAATATGTTTTGGGGACAGTTTGCAGGGAGTGTTGATCTAACTGAATATATTGTCTCCCTGCTGAACCAGCTTTAATGTGCCTTATCCAAAGTCCTATTATTTTTTACCTTATGTCATTTTATGAGCAGCGCTCCGTGTAACACATAAAAAATTAACAGATTATAACATTCATATTACATTCATACATCTGCAATGCTGTGAACGCACAACCATTCCTACCTTCAGTATTGGAATTAGAGTTACTAATCAAACAGTGAGATTACTTTTGTTGTAGTCTCAGTTTTTAAGCATTCTCTGATTATATACAAAAAGCATATGATCAAAATCAAATTGGATTTTAATTTGCATTGCAACGATTGCCCAATTTTAGTTCACGCATGAGATAGGATGTTGTCAGAGGGTGTGGAGATTTGCACATATGAATCATAAAATATTTCAAATAATAACAACAAAGTGACAGTGAAGTGCAAACTGGACCCTGCCCAGAGACAACTCTGCTCTGTTGAGAACACAAGCACCTACCAAAGTAACGTGTTATAATAAAGCAATAAGTGAAAGATCTCCAGACCCAAGCTGAGTGTATACTGACCCCAACTACGCACCAATTAAAAGTAGCTTGATTTTTTTGGACAGGGATTAAGGCCGAAAATGTCATCCATTTCTACAGTAATCTCTCATACATTTTTCTGTGAAGTGCTCTCCAGGATGGTTTTTACCAATTATGCTACACTGACCAATCACTTTGTCAGGTACACATGTTGTGTGGCTTTTTAACAAAAATTACTAACCAGCCAATCACACAGGAGGAATTGAATGCATTTAGGCATTTAGACAAGGTCTAGCTGGCCTGCCGACATTCAAATCATGGATGAGAATGGGGAAAAAAGGAGATTTAAGTGGCTTTGAACGTGGCATGCTTGTTAGCGCCAGACAGGCTGGTCTGAGCATGTCAGAAAGTGCTGATTTGTGAATATTCCCATACAATCTTCTCTAGAGTTTACAGAAAATGGCCCGAAAAACAGGGAAAATATGCAATAAGTGGCAGAAAAAGTGCCTTGTTGATTTCAGAGGAGAACTATCACTCTTATAGGAAGTTAACAGTAACTCAAAAAATGTACTATGTGTACATTTAATCTCGAACTGGTTTGTTGACCATGACATTTGGTTCACTGTACTCAGATGGTCTGACACAGTTATCAGGTCTCAATCCAATAGAGTACCATTGGGATGCGGTGGAAGATTTGAATAACAGGTGTGCAGCTGACAAATCTGCAAAAACTGTGTGATACTAACATGTCAACATGGACCAAAATCTCTGCAGAATGTTTTCAGCACCTTGTTGAATTAATGCCATGAAGAGTTGAAGTGCGTCCAACGACTAAAGGATACTAGCAAATTGAGTGTCTTGTGAGTTTATCTTTAAATGCAACATCTTCTGTATCCAGACAAAATAAGGTATTAGGGATTTGTGTTCATATGCGAGTATTTGTATCATTACTCTCAAGGAATCTCTAGTAGTGTAATAGTAATGTAATAAAAGTTTACTGCATTGCAATAAAAATGGATATTGTGCAAAAAACGAAAAGATACAAGTGATTCATTGACTATATGTACAGTAGTACCCATACTCCACAAAACATACACATAATTTAGGGCTGTCAGTACTGGATAATAAAGCAGATAGCAAAGTATGCATACAACAGGCACCCGCAGACATATGACTGAGCATGCTCTGTCTTTGAGTGTCTGTGTATGTTTCTTGAATTGTCTGTGTGGGCTCAAATGGGCCATTTGGGCTCAGTAGACCAGAGCAGACAGGTTGGCCTCTAACACCATCGCATACCACCTACATCAGGAAGAGGCACTGACTGCAGTTTGGACAAATACAGATGGTGGCTGCTCATTTATTCGAAAACCAGATGCAAAACATGTTTCAGACTAAATAGAAACCGCAGGAAGAAAGTGCAAGTCCCAAAGGCAAAATTTAAGTTACCAAAAAAAGTGACATCAGCAAAAGGGAAATTCCTGCTGGCAAAGAGGAGATATTTTTTGTTTGGTTTTAAGTGTCACTGTTTTTGTTAAGCCAAGAACAAAGAAGAAAGCCTTTTGGTTAAAACCCTGGCCAGCTGGGGGAAAACTGCAACAGCAAAGGGTGCCCGTGTAATAGATCTAGTCCGATTATATCTGTGGGTCAAAGCACAGACCACCGGTGACCTCTCGATGACTGCAGGGATATTACATAATCAGGATAGAGCGCTGTTGCTGGTTTACAAATGATGAAAAGACAAGTCAAAACCACGGCAATGACTTCCAGACTGATGATGAAGCAGGGCGTACCTAAAAAGCTAAAAAAAAAAAAAACAAACCCTGAAAATTGTAGTGATTAGTGTAACAGTATATCGCCAGCAAAGCCTTGAGACTGCACAGTGGCTACCTGCACTGGTCGACCACAGAGGATCTTGGTGCTCCAGTAACAGTGGACAGGCCACTTGGTATGGAAAGAGTTCAGACCGCCAGGGGAAACAGTTCAGAAACACAAGGGCCACTGTGTTAGAGAGAGAAGTGAGAACAAGAAGGGGAGGCTGTAAAAACAAGAATGAGGTTTTCCTGCTTAGCTACTAATACAAAATGTAAAAATTCCATCCAAGTCGCATGCACACGGAAGCCATCAATTGGTAAGTCAGGCAGTTAATAAGAGAAGAAAAAAAGACAGAAAATCGGAGAGCATAGACAAGGAGTGAGCTTATATGTGATAGGTGACTTTTCTTCTTTAATACACTGGAAAGCCTCCCTTGCTTTGACCTTGCTTTGTTTCCTTTGGGTTAACTCTCCTGCATGTGTGCCCAAGTGCAACTGTTTAACAGACCTACCGACAAGCTACTCCAAACAGAGAGAGATGAAGACAGGGAAAGAATAAAAGTGCAGACAGTGGGAATGTATAGAAAACAGAAGTGGGAGGGAAGTCTAATAATAATAATCCCTTAATGCTAAAGGAGAGGATGAGACAGTAACAGAGACAGACATGCTGCGCATGTAGAAAGCATTCAAGAGAGAACCCTCACACATCCCTGAGAGCCTAATTGAAACCATACAAGTTCATTTCTGCAGTGGAGGAAAACTGAGAGTGCTGTGAAAGAAATGTTTGGAGACAGAAAGTGAACGCTTGAGTGTTTCGGAGAGGGTCAGAGGTGCCCCCGCTCACAAAAGCAAACAGCAAAAGGAGGACTTTTCTGACAGAAACGAGCCATTTTGCCTGTCTTTGTGTCTTCCCCATGCAAGACCCACGAGAAACAGCTTTCTAGAACACTTTGAAATCCAAACACGTGCAAAAGCATGTCCAAAATCAGCAGTTGGTCCCCTTTGAGAGTGGCCAGAGTCCAGCTGCATCTGTGCAACTCCTGTATGGGAAAAATGGCCAGCTTTAAGTAAAGATTATGGAGTCATTACCCTACCACCACCACCCATCCTAAAAAACAAAGAGCAGGGGAGGTGCTTTATCTTATTATTATACAATATTTTGCGGTGTTTGGTAACATAGTATGTCCTCAACCTTCAGTGTCTACTTTTTTTTAAAAAGGGAGTTCAAAAGCTGACACAAGATGTTTAACAGAGTTCAAACGCATGCACAATGCCTTCCCCCACCACCCAGCTTTGGTTTGGTGCCAGACACATCTGAGCGGTAAAGACAAACAGAGTTCTCCCACTCGTGTTCTTACCCCAGCGTGCTCTATTTAAATGTAACTGCAACAAGACTGAGAAGAAGGAAGTTTTACTAAAAGGCACCAATGCACTTTGTAATCAGAGTAAACCTGCAACTTTACCAAGTTTCTCTTCTCTCCTTTTCTCCCTGAAGAATTTCAGGGTGAAACCACACACTGCTCCCACTTCCCAAGCGTACGTTTGGAATTTCAGTTAAAAGAGGGCATGTAAATCTGTGTGTGCATATTGCTGCAAGGACATGCGCAAATATAATCAAATATAAGCAACCTGCGAGAAAACAGCACAATCTGTGCAGCAGTGTGTGGATCCTTTAGAATATTCTAACATCAAGCTTTTTGAAAATGTGAATGTTTTTTGCCATTTCCTTGAACTCTCTTGCAGTCCTTCTTCATTTTCAACGAGATAGAGAACCGGCAGCAATGAACAATGAACATGAAGTAGCACACAACAGGGTTCTAAGGGCGTGGCTATCTATAATTTCTTCCTTACAGTGCAAAGAGGGTCCAAGAAAAGAAATTCACCTCTCTCCCTGGCAGAAGTGGTGCTCTGCTCAATCTTTCGCAGCAGTGTGAGCGGGACCACCAGCCAGTTACATAACATAAGAAGGAAGCATCTGAAACAAGAACTTGGATGTTTCATTCCTGTTTTTTTTTTCTCTTTTGCTGCTTTTGCAGAGATTTCAAAATTAATCTCTGGCGACAATGATCCCCATCCGCCCACATGCACATTTTAAAATAAACTTGGCACCTCTTCAGCACTTCCAGCTAAAAATTTCATAGTGGAAAGAATGCTTACTTCAGCAATTCAACAAATCAACAAATACAGAGCAAGAAACAAGAGAGAGCTTTGCTGAAATTATTTTTTAAAAGATTTTCTAATCTCCTCCCTGTTTATGAGTTTTAATTGCATTTTGCATGTTCTACACACATGTGTGTTGCTCATTTCTCCCCTTTCAAAGCTTCACATTTGTGATGAGTTGTTATTGACTTAGTGTCTGACACTCAATCCAGAATTTCAATTTTGCTTCTGCATTTGCCAAAACTTGTCTTTGACTCTCTTACTATCAATCCTTTAGTAAGTAATGAAAACTGACAGAGTTTTTTCATTCATTGTTAGTGCACGCCTCTAAACTCCCTGTAATGTCTAAAGAACAAAGGGGTTAAAACAAAGGGGAAGTAATATATGTCTGTTAAAATTAAAAGTCAACACTTTGGTACATTTTATTGCTACATACTCTGCAACTTTGCACCCTTTACTTTATGATTTAACTGGCTCACTGTGGCCTTTTGTTAACACTTGGAGAATCAGATTTTGTTAAAGAAATACACTTTAAACAATCCCAAGGTTGCAAATTTTTATATATGCAGGCAGAAAGGTCTGATGCACTGTTTTTTTTTTTCCTACCTGTGCAGGGTGAGAATCTGACCTGGGCTCATCCACTAGGACCTGCAGATCTCCAGTTGATCCTGTATCCCAGGCTCCTAATCCTGTCATGAGCGCTGCATCCAAGCCAAGAAAATCTGCCTGGCTGCCTGTAAACTTAGAGCCTGGAGTGAGGGACGAATGAGTGGCTGCGCTTGCTCGCTCTCTCTCTCTCTCTCTCTCTCTCTCTCACCTTCCCCCTCTCTCTCTCTCTCTCTCTCTCTCTCCTTTTCTCTCTCATGAACTCCTTGCTTTTCACCCACTCAGCTAGACTGTACTGAAAGTGTGAAGAGAGAGACAGAGAGAGACTGCAAGCAATGTAAAACTGATTCTCGAAGGAGCTACAAGGCTTTGTCTGGTTTAGCAGTATGCACACACACACAGACATGTGTGGGAGGGCTCCAACCCTGCACTGATTCCGTCTTGAAGCAGTGGACTTACCCCCAAGATGTGCTGCTAACTGGCCTGATAGAGAGTACTCTGAGTAAGAGAGAGCTTGTGAAGTCATGCACTCGCCCACCAGTGTGCCAGCCTGTCTGTCTCTTTCTTTTTTCTGTTGTGCTACTCAAGGAAGAAAGAACCTTCTAGATTTACCTTAAATCTTTACAGGCTTGTTCCAAAATAACTTTGGTCCACTTCCAACATCTGCTTCAGTGGTGAAGCACTGTTTTGTTATTAGTCCTTGGAAGATGTTACATACATCTTGCAAGCAGAGCGTGGGGTTTCACAAAGTTTTGCAAACAGTTTGCCACTCAACACCTGGATTGCATCAATTTAGGATACAACAGCACAAGAGAAGTAACCAGAGCTCATTTGGAGTTTTATACTATGTCCTCACAGTATGGGTTTAAGGATCAGCACCTTAACATTTGTGCTTTGTACTCCCCATAAATCATTACCATTACATTTGGCTGATGTTCATGCAACGATTAATCTGTCATATTTGATTGCTTGTTACAAGAACCGTGTCAGAAATTGTCTTTGGAAACTATTTGACAAAGGGCAGGTCCTTTCACAAACAGATGACTGAATGGATCTTCTATTTTTAACCAATCAGCAATGAAACATTGGGTGCAGAGAGCATCAAAGAAGAAAAACAAGCTGCAATCTAAGAATTCAAGAGAATTAACAAGCGGTTTGTGTTGTCAGCTGTGTATTTAGTATATAATCAGATGATTCTGCATTTGTCCATAAAAAGCAAGCAAGCCAATATATTCTACAGGTTGCTGAATGGCAAGAACCTGCAGCAGTTCAGCTCTAAACACATAACCTCGACTCAAGATGGGCTCTCTTCTAACACTGTCTTGCAAATTCTGCAAGAATCCCAACCACAAGTAAAGCTGCTCCATCTTAACTTTAAGCACGATTCTTACATTAAAATTGTATCCAGTGTGTTAAAATACTTGAACCATGAATTTCTGGTAGAGAGCAGATTTCATGGTTCTATCAATAGCAAGTAATCCAGGCCCAGACCATCACACTCCCATCACCATGCTTTGCTACTGGTATGATCATCTTTTTATAAAATGCTATATTAGTTTTACATCAGATGTGATGGCACTCAAACTTTCCAAAAAGTTGAACTTTTGCCTCATTGGTCAACAGAATATTTTCCCCAAACTCTTGTGCATCGTTATTTTTGGTCAGCAGTGGTGTTTTCCTTGGAAATCTGCCATGGATGTCATTTTTTCCCAGTCTATTACTAATTGTTGAATCATGATCACTGACCTCAACTGAGGTAACTGAGGCCTGCAGTTCTTCAGATATTGTTCTGGGTTCTTTTGTGACCCCCTACATGAGTCATCGATGAGCTCTTGGAGTAATTTTTGTAGGCCGGCCACTTGTGGGAAGATTTACCAGTGTTCCAGATTTTCTCCATTTGTGGATAACAGCTCTCGTCATGGTTCACCGAAGACCTAAAACCATACAAATAGCTTTATAACCCTTCCCAGACTCATAGATGTCAATAATTTTGTCTCTCATCTGTTCTTGAATTTCATTTGATTCTCATATAATATATATGCGGCAGTACGTGGTCTGTGGCGCTGCAGGGGAGGTGGACACACCTGAGCTGCATCCACAATCATGCTGAAAAGCATTGAATTGTCAACTGGTCTGTGGTGTGTTTACTACAATATTGTTTACTGAGATCTTAATAAAAAACATCATCATTTAAAAACTGCATTTTGCATTATCATCTTATCATCTTTGTCTAACATTAACATTTGTTTGATGATGTGAAACATGTGAATGTGACACATATGCAGCAAAATAAGACACTTACACTTCTCCAGCACAGTTCTCACATCAGCAAAAATGAAATGGCACACACACTCTGCAGTAAGGAGTTTGGAGGGTGAAGACTATTTAAACTCTGATAATACTGCAGTGGGCATCTACATTCTCACATGCAACTTAGGACTGCAGTGGATGTACAAACAGTGTATTTTTTTTGCTTTAGCACTTCTGTAACACAAGACTACTCGCGCATTTTTAATAATTTCTTTGATAAAAGTTGACATTTTTGTTTAATAGTAAACATAGTCACTTGACACGCTTTGCAATTTGTTGCAAACATGAGTAAGAAAACAAAGTAGAATAGTGTTTTGTTGATCTGTGAAGTTTAATTTAGTAGGAGACAAGTAATCCCTGATAGTCAACATACTGCTCAGCATTTCTGGTCTCTAGATCAACACTGAGTGGAACAGTTCCATATTAGGACCACCATTCTGCAGCTTCTTAAAGGGATTGTTTACTGGCAAACACTTCA